TAAACACAATGTGTACATACTTAATTCTTCTCACCACCATTGTTTCTAGTAGCAATTCTTCCTTCATATTTCATTGCATTCCATATCAGAAACTTAATTTACTTTGAGCACATAGTCTTTGATGCTTGTGAAGCTTGTCATTCATATGTTAATGATGCAAAATGAAGTTGACAGCATTACATACGTGCTTGGATATCTGCCTGAGTGTGCTGTTTATTTGCCCTGATACGTGTTCATGTTTACTTAGTGAATTTGCCTTATCTGTTTGCTACTTGATCTTCCATTCTTGCCTTTGTGTTGTTTTGAAGGAAGAATTTTTCTCTCTGTGCACCCTCTTGATGAGATTTAACCCATTCTGGAGCTCCCAGTTTATGTGGTTACTGTTCTCTCTGCTTTCTGCTACCTTGCTTGTGTACACAGAATAGACATATCTGATCTGTACAACTCTKCATTTTGGTGCGTACGTGACTTAATCTTCAGACTTTTGCATGGAAAGTGTGAGTACATCCCACCAGCTTGAACTTCAGGCAGAAAATATTCATCCCTTTAAGCAGCCTGGAACTGTACTTCTTGAGTTAGAAGAGACATCCTTTAATTCGCTTTCTGAGTATTAGCTTTTCAACGGTATTGTTCWGAAGAGGAATAGACAGCAATGATATGAACAGCCAAAATAATCAGTATCAGCCCAGTAAAGTGTGACAGCTCCTCTCTGTGATCTCTCACTGCTTTATGGGAATAGAAGCACACATTCATCCAGTGCACATATTGTATATTAACTGAGGAGATATTTTTTGAACAAAAACAGCATTCCCAGTGTGCGTTTGCAACTCATTATATCTAGGAATGAAGCCACATACCCTGTTAGAGCTGCATCTGCTACAAAATGCAACAGCTTGTCAGCTTTCTGGTTGCTGCGTGTGCTTCAGTCTGGTGCTCTTCTGTCTGTGTTGGGCTCATCTTAGACTCTCAGCCTTGTCAATKCCTCTGTGGGATGAAACAGAGCTGCGTAGGAATTTTCTCTTTCTGCCTCTCCAGCTGGGATTTTCAAGGAAATTGTATTGCACTGCGTAAGACAAGCAAGATCTCCTATAAACCTTCCTGGTTTAGAAGGAAAATGAGATCATTAGTGCACAGAGCAGAATTTACTTCACAGAACCCTGTCTGTGCTGCAGTGTGGCTCCCTTCCAGCAGAAATCAAGGCAGGGGATGCAGGAGCACTCCCTAACTCAAGCCAGTGCCAGGATATGGACACAGAGCTGGGATCTTAGAAGAGGTCCTGGGTCTGTCAGTTTAGGTGTGAATACCATAAAGCTCCAGTCCCTGTGGCATTTCCTGAAAAAAAAAAAAAAAAAAAATTGCCCACTGTCCCCACACAATGACACAGAGAATCATACTGTCAGTGAGGTCAGACAGCACCTCTGGGGATTTTCTAATCTAATCCCTGCTTGAAGCAGGGTCAGCTAGGCCAGGTTTCTTAGAATATGGCAAAGAGGGGGTTTGGATATCTCCAAGGATGAAGACTTCACAACTTGCCTGGGCAACATGTGCAGCTTTTTGGACACTCTTGTAGCAAAACAAAAAGTTTGCTTTTTATTTATGAATTTGTGCTTGTTGCTTCTTACCTTTTCACTGGGTATCACTGAGAAGAGCCTGGCTTTGTCTTGTTTAGTCCTTTCACACACCATCACTGAAACCTTCTGGATTGCTTATACCCTGCTGTATACTCAGGAGGTAAGTAATATTCTAGAAGTATTACTTCTGGAGAATATTGAAAGATATTGAGTTGGTTATTCTCTCATGAGGACCAGGGCCTGCAAATGTGAAGCACTTTTCTGAAGAAGACTCACATAATACTTACTGATGTAGTTCTGTAAAAAACTACTGTGAGAACGTTGCTTATGTTGTTTTGTTTTCTAAGCTAGATCTGTAAGGTCTCAGCTGGCTCCTCACCCATCCCAAGGCAAAGTTTCATGAATCCCTGTTTCTTTTTCATGTACAGGGCAACTCTACTCTTCAGCATCCTGGCATGTCCTTTCCAAAATAGCCTTTATTGAGCTGCTGCATTGTTCCAGTCATGTGAGCTGTCTCACCACATCTCCACCATTCCAGGGAAATAAATCTAGATCTGTAAATCCTGTAAATCCTACACCTGCACACAGGTGTGTGTCCTGTTTACTCTTCATCCTGCATGTGTTAGTTTACAGGAAGTGCAGAGAGGCACTCAGTCACCCTGATTTCCCCCAAAATGYTAAGAGAATTTCCTTCATATCCTGTACGTACTTTCTTCTCTGTGTGCATGTACTTAGGATGTACTTATGCCCTGTTTGGATAACTAAAACCTCCCTTTTCCACATCTCTGGCACTCTTTGCTTTTCAAACCAGTCTACCTCTTAAAGGGGACCATGCCATCCTGATCCTCATCACTCCCAGTTCAAAGCTCATTTCACCGGGTTGCCCGGCTTGTTGGCAAAGATTCCCTACTTGGTCAGATGTATCCTGCCTTTTCCTGGCAGTTTGTGATCTTCAAAGATTTCAGGGTCCTAGAATTCAAATCCCTGTTTTCAACCCCAGCTCTGCAAACATTTGTTAATGCTCAGAATTGCAGAATCCATCCAATCTTCCCTGATTCCTCTCCTTCTTTATCAGGTCTAAGGAGACACTAAATGGTCTCCATATCCTTGGACCTCGCTCTGGAGCCACATAATCCCCCTTGGCATGATTCACACCTCCTCCAGCAGTACTATGGGTGCCTGTGTAGAAGAGCAGTGGGAACTCCAGCCTGAGGGCCGGATAAACTTCTACAGTGTTCCATATCCAAGCTCCCAGTAGGTGCCAAACTCTGGACATCAGATCAGACCAGAGAAGGCACCTTTGTGGCCCCTTTGCTGCCTCTGGCTCTTCCCTCAGTGCTGCCATGGGATGCCATGTGTCACCAGCTTTGGTCATACCACTGATATAGGTCTGTGGCTTTGTGACAACTCAGATAAGATCCAGGACATCTCTGTCCTCACCTCTGAGGCCCCAGAGACACTCATCAGTGCCCACTCCTTGTGATCTGGTAGCTCATCTGCCTGCTCTCAGCCTCTGAAGAGCCCCAGGCAGCCCTGCAGCCCAAATTTCAGAGCCAGGAGCTCAAGATGAGCCCAGAAGAGTAAAGTTTGTGTCTTCATGCATCCTTAGAGTGCTACAGACCCCRGCCATCTCTTCTATACACACTTATCACAGTGGATGTAACTTAAACAAAGCCCTTTCAGATCTCCACACCGATAAGGAGGGTTTTTGTCCCAAACATGAAGAGCTCGAGCAATTGGCAATAGGTAATCTATCTAAAAATGCGCTTTTTTTTTTTTTTTTTTAATCTTTAAAGAATTACTCTATCAGCTATCTTCAACTCCTTATACGTGAAGTTACAGTGGATCATTGGTGTTTTCTGACAGATGTGTGGTTTTATTCAGTCATGTTTGTTAAAATGCTTAAATGTTTTGATTAGCCTAATTGAAATACAACACCAAAATAAACTTTTCAAAATATTTCCACAATGCAGGGTGTTATATAAAACTGTCAAAAAGTGAATTGGCATTGTACTGATTTTCGCAGGAAGGCAAGTACAAGTATTTATTTTGAAGTTGATAGAATACAGAAGGATCAGAGATATGATTTCATTCTCCTCTGCAAATCTCCTTCCAGATTCCTAAGTCTCTCACAAAGCAGATGTCATTTTGAAGATTCAAAATAGAAAACCACTAAAAAAAAAATCAGCATTCTTAAAGAATTCTGCTATGCTTTATTCCCGTTTGCTAGTAGAAAGCATGTGTCTTGAATGCTAATTACATATTATTTTAGGAAGGCAGAGAAYTTCATGAGGCAGATATGAAATGAGCTGCAAAAAAGCAGCATGGGATAACCTCTTTGGTTCCAGTGCTGGTGCTTTTCTGTAATCTCTTCACATTACTGCAGCTGTTATTTAGCCATCAGAAGCTTAAATGGCACATAAGAAGCCTCAGGAATAAGACTCAGTTCAACAAAATTCTAAATTTAGTCTTTTTGGCAAAACTGTCAATGTAAGCTTAAGGAGCACAGAGATCCTCCATTTCTGAATCCCTGATTTTGCAGGGYGAAGGCAAAGAAAGGCAAAGCAACCCAGTCTGCTCATCAGAGAGGTGTCTCTCATCTGTGCAATAGCCAGCATTAGCTAAAAAGTTTTTTATTGACTTCATAAGGCTTTGATAGGAGCCTTCAGTGGAAAGTGCAGGGGAATAACTGGATGACATCCCAAGAGTTGCTCTGGAGCAGCGGATGGCTCTCTAGAGTCCCTTTTTTCAACAACATCACATTTGTGTAATTGCTCTGTAAAACATGACAAGATGGCCAAATTTCACTAAGAAACMATACTAATCCCCTGATACTACAGGCTGTCTTAACATCTCTATGCCTAAAATTAAGAACAGAGCAGCCTATCCTCTCTGCCTTCAGGTATCCTCTCTGATTTTAGGCCCTTTTCTATAAATTGCTAAAGAAACAAGAAGTACATATGCTCTTCTCGAGGCTGATACTTGTCTGATGATATCTCTGAGGTGGCTGGAGTTGTGAAGGTGAAATATCCTCAATTTACAAGAAAGTGGTGGGACCTCTTGAGGCTGGAAGATAGTTAAGGTAAGTCTGATGAGCTGTGTTTTCCTGCAGTGGTGCCAGCAGAACTGCACTGATGCAGAGCTGCCTTTTTGCTTCCTGCACACTTCTAGACACTGAAGATGTGCAAAAATTAAGACCTCGGGGAGCACAGGAGTTGGTTGCTGTTACAGTGCTGTCCTTTTTAAGCAATACTCAACATACCTGCAGCAGTGGTGCCATTTTTTAAAAGCTGTCTTTTAACACCAGGCTTACCCCACACTCACAGACATTCCATGAGTCCATTTGCTGCTAAAAGTTCTCTTGGAAAAGAGAAACTGTGCTTAGTACAGCTCTAGATCTCATCAGTGCAATGGGCTTCATCGGATTTCTTTCAGTACAGACCAAGTATGCARAGGGGAAAGTGATGCACGGATCCCTGAGCTGTGGAGCACAATTTCTTTAACCTCGTGTCTCAGCCGCAGCCCTGACAAGCTTATCCAGCTTTCCCTGCTCACCACACTGAATGGAATTGGAATTAAAACTGATCATTCTGGAGGGCTATTGCCCAGAGCACGCTGCTCAGGTTAAGCAGCTTGCAACATAATTTGTTTTTCAAAGGCTTTGTTTCAGAGTCAGTAAGAGCAAGATGCATCACCAGGTGAACTAAACACTGAATTCATTGCAAATTCCTGTTGAGTCCTGTGATAACGCCTAGTAACTGCGGAATGGCTGGTACATGTTTTAGATCCTTATTCTAAGTATTGGTCTTTTCTCCTTGCGAAACAAAATGTGTGGGCTGAAAATCATACATGTAGAATTGTTTCAACACAGAGGACTGACATGGGAGGTGCAAGAAAATGTTCTCAAGCCACTTAGGGGTGTATTGTAGAGTGTGGTGTGGACTTTTTATTTGGTTCAGTGAGGAAGCAAATCACGAATATGTTGAAACTTCTSCCATTACGTGGCTCCATTGTAACATGTCAGGAAGATGAGTAAGGTTGGTTTGGAAGATGCTCCTAAAGACAGTATGGTAGCTTATATTGCTAAAATTAGCCTTTTACATTTTATAAATAGTATCAAATGTATCTCAAAACATGTTTTATTACCTGTGGTGGAAAATCTTCACATGGTATTTCTTTGCTGGCTGACCCAACATGGGCTCCTGTTAAAAAATTATAACCCTTGGACTCAATTCCCTGGACAGTCCCCAAAGCATTTCCTGGATCACAATGATGCAATAGTTTCCTATCCTATTGATGGTTGTCCCAGAGCACCTCAGAACAAATGCTCCCATTCCCTGAAAGCTGCTCAAGTACCAGGATGCTGCTATAAATGGTTGAAATGTGATGCAGTTTCCCCTTCAACTTCCTCCAGATCAGCCTAATGGGGATTAAGAGCCATTAAAGGCTCTTTGCAGCATATGCAGTTGCTATTGATCAGTTGTTTTAGCCAATGATCTGATTACAACCATCTTCTCTTCACAGTGCTTTACTGGCAGAAAGGAACATACAAACATGCAATAAAAGGTGAAGAATGAAGGTACCAGACCTTCCTGTGTGTGCTAAGAATTTGTTTACTTGCTAAAAAGAAATATTGTCCTTGTATTTTTCCATGAGTAAAAGATTTTACCTGCAATCCAAGAAGCCAGATTGAAGTTAAATTGTTTATACAAGTGGAGCTCAGGGAGTTTGTCTTGCCAGAGCATGGCACAGTACATTTTGCATTTGTTGCTGAATASAGGCAGAGCTTAAACAAGATGATTTTGGTAAATGCTTTCCTACCTTTCACTGCTGCAAAGTTTGGGGAAAAGTTCTGAGAATTGAGTCCTGCCCTCTTGGACTGACAAAGTTGAAATCTTTTCCTGTGGTGAGTCAGCTTGCTAACCCAATGGCTTTTTAAGCAGACAGGTGTTACTCTCTTGAATCACTTCTTAAAAGAATGCAGAGGTAACACTTTGCTATGCAGAACCCAACTGTGGGTATATATTTGGACCCTGAAAGCAGATGCTGATTGAGCCCYTGTGAAGGGCTGTCTGGGGAGCAGTATGGCAAATTTCTGACTCTGCTGGGACTGAGCCTTCCAGGTCTGTGGAGGCTGTGAAGCCTGTGGAGGATGCACAGAGGCAGATCTCAAATAGTCAATGCCAAAGTCAAATCTACAGGCCTCCCATGAGGGAAGGTGAAGCTGRAAAGAGCCTCTCTGGAGAGAAATTATTTAGTGTCAGCTTATAGTCTTACCCAAATTCTGGTTTTGGTGACTCTGTTTCTGTAATAGCTTGAACAATTATCCTCCGAGTGATTTCTCTGGCAGAGGGAAGGAAGGGCACTGAATTGAGAAGCTTGAGACAAAAGAAATTCCTGGAAACTCTGAAGGTACTTTGTTGTCCCAACATTTATTTTGCAGTTTTAGATGACTCTTGGGGAAGAGATCAGGCTTCATTTGCCTGACTGATTGTGCCAGTCTTCTATGAAACAGTGGCAGAGTAGGGGTAGCACAGTGGCTCTCTTGTTCAAAGCCACAGAACTGCTGATAACCCATATTTCAGCATGCAACCAGGTTTAAGAGAATAGATTTAGCAGCTCACACAGGGTTACTTTGCTCTTTGTGACTGGACAGGAAATGCAACACAGCCATTCACGCTTTCCTCAGGACATAACCAATACTTCACTAACAAAGTCACAAATTTATTCATCTGTCAGGGTCACGACTTAGATGGGCCCTAGTTGTCTCTGGAGAAGGTCCAGAGTAGGAAAATGTGTAAATACCATCAGAAAAGTACCAGTACTAATGAAAGCACAGTATGAGTGGGTGTCCAGGACAGAAATCAGATGCCTGCCTGACAGTGGAAGGATTTGTTAGTGGCCAAATGTGGGTTATTGAAAGTGGCAGAGAGGTACCTTCCTTTTCAACCACTGCAATAATTTGGTCTTGATCACTAGAAAGGGCAGGGCGTGTTTGTATTTTTCTTAATTTCATGACAAAGAAACCCATCCCAGCACAGCCTGTGACTTCCTAAAGGACTGCAGAGTTCTTCCTGTGCAGAGGACAGTGACCTGCTTTGGAAACATGAGCATGAGCAGAAAATTATGTTTACCCACCTTTGGAAGTTCCATCATTTATTATCAACTGAGTGACTCCTTGTAGCATTTTATTKTTCTTAGAAAGGAAAAAAAAACCTCAGACAGGGCACAAACAAGCTACTTAGTTCCCTGGTACCCTGATGGAGGAGGTTACAGGCTTCTTCTGAGCCCTGATGATTTGAACACATTTGTTTCCGTTATGTATAATGTAGAAATTCATAGAAAATTTTATTGGTCCTTTATCTGATTCTTGAGTGTTTTTCTCTTTGTGATAGTTTCCAGTTGAATACTTTAGTTGTAATAGAGACCACTGGTTTTGTTGAACTAAAAGATTACAGTGTCCTAAAACCTTGACTCCAGCACACAGCCCCAGAAAGCATGTTTCCTATGAAATGTCCACCAAATCAGATCAGGTTGTTGATTTTCTTCCTAGAGCAGGWGAATTCCATGCAGGCTTGCACTGCTGCAGATATTCCTGCACCCTACAGAGCTCCCAACACAAAGAGCAGGGAGCAGCAGTGTYCTTGTGGATTGCTACTGGGCTTGAGGCACAGCTCCTCAAGAGAAGCAATTTGTTACCCTTGATTTCAGCACAGCAATGAGCCRAGGATCGTCAGAAACTCCTGCTGTCTGAGCTGCTGCTGGCATGAAAAGTTTCCTCCACCTTGACACGTGGTGAAAAKGTGCAGCTGGAGGGAGCTGTCCTGAGGATCAGAAGAGGCAGAACRCACACAACTGTGCTGAGAGAAATGGTGGAGAGCTGTTGCAAGGACAGCAATGGTTTGCAAAGGGACCGTACTGTGTGGGAAGGAAACAAATCACCACGGGCTATCAAGAAGACATGTGATGAGACACAGGAAAAGTGAAGGGGGCATGTGATGTTTCCTCTGGGCCTTTCAGCACAGCTGAGGGAACCAGGAAAATTGTACTGATACAATGCACAAAAGCCTCCAGTAAGTTCCTTCTCCAGGGCAAACATCCATCACCAGCACAAAGAATTCGTGAATTGTACGACACAGCTCCTCTCCAATCGATTGCTGCTACCTACCTTATTGCTGGGGCTCCTACCTAGTTTCTCTTCCTCACAGCCTTGAATTTAGACACTCCTACAGCATCTGGCTATTTTGTATTCACATCTGAATCTTATATATTAGGACCATGATAAGCAAACAGTTCTGCCATGCTGACTTGCCTCACCTGGTGTACTTAGGTCTCATGCAGGGGTGTCTTCCCTCCAGCAGTGTAGATTGAGAAACTGGGTGCAGTAGAAACACTGCCAATTGTATTTACTATAAAAAGCTAATAGTCCTTTGTGATCCATGAGAGGAATAATGGGAATACAGCCTAAACTCTGGACTGCTTACACGCCCCTGACACCAGGATGGTGCGACCATTTTTTTCTCATCCCAGTCACTGCTCACCACAGTGAAGGTCAGAATTTTTTGTTGTCAATCAGTAATTTTATCTCTGACCTTGAAAATCTGCAATACTGCCTGCTGTTTTATAGTGAAGATCATGATTTTAGTGACAGAGTTATTTTACTAATCTTTTAATAGTGCCTGGCAGGATCCCTGTGCTATTTGATTGTCTCTTCTTAGAGCTCCTGGCTCAGAATGGACTCTAATTTTCATGATTCTATATGGAAATACAATCTAAATCCAAGCTGTGTGCCATTTCCCCAGAGAGGCAACTTCTAGCTCACTACCTTCTTCACTTATTTCACTGGAACTCTTACTCAGATTGTGGTAGTTTTTTTCTGTCAGAAGTGATCAAAAATATGTATTTCTTCATATATGTTTTTTTTTTTTTGTGGTTTTTTTTTTTTTTTTTTTTTTTTTTTTTTTTTTTTTTTTTTTTTTTTTTTTTTTTTTTTTGGTTTTTTTTTTGTTTTTGTTTTTTTTACGTATTGCAACCCTGTAATTCTTGTCTCATCTTTATGCAAGCAAATTTCGAGTCCTGGGGCCCCTTGATCTATCAACAAATTTTGGTTGTTAAGTCTTTCAACTTTTTGAAAGTTGGAATATAAATATTTGAGTTTACCCTGGGTGAAGCATCTGGGGCAACTGTGTCTCATGGTCCAATTGCTTGGTAGACCCATTCATAATTCATCAGTCATCTGATTAAATGTCGTTTAGTCTGACTCATGTGATAGTGTTTGCAGCTAATTTAAAGGCAGAACATCATACTTGCACAACTTTCCAGGATATGCCAAGGATGTAGAATGAATTCTCTCCTGATTAAAATATGAACCATTTTACATGGTTCCATATTCCAATAATTGCAGGGGTTTTTTTTGGTTTTTTTTTGGTTTTTTT